TGGCTCTTTCACTTCGAACTGATTTTGACACGTCGTCGGATATGAATATCTGACGGTCGCAGAAAGGGTTATCTTTCAGGGTGTTTGCTGCAGCCTTTAAAATTCGTCCTTTATCAGGATATCTAAGTAAGTAGACATGGATAGGCCTTGACTGCGGAGCGGTAGCGCTCGCAGCCGCTTGGTTGATCTTCGTACGGTGCGCTCGCATGACTTCAATATTATCGAGGCCCATGTGCTTACTGAAAAGTTCTTCCTCTAAGAATTCTTCTACGGAGCTGCAATCTTTTTCGGCGCCTTCCTTTAAACCCCATATGACCACGTTGTTCCTCTTGGATCTGTTCTCCAAGTCTTCAATTTTCTTGTTCAGGGCGTCTATCTCTTTGCGGTTCGCCTTCTCTGCAAGAGCGCTTTTAACCTCAGTCACATCGTGGTCTAAAAGTTTATAACTATCTTTCAATTCGTAGACATCCTGAGCGGTTTTCTTTTGACTTTTTTCCAAACTTTCTAGCTTCATCAGGATGGCGTTCAACTTCGACTCTTGTTTATCTTTAGCGGCGAGCAATTCGTCCATCTTCGCAAGTACTGCGTCTAGCTTCGCTTCAGTGTCGGGCATTTCGGTTCGTTGCTTTGCTTTCGACCTTGTTCATCTAGCAGACATTCGCTTGTCACCAATTAATAAACTCAAAAGATTATAACGCGGTCATAGTAACCTACTAAGGATCAAAATTTTGAAAGTTTCATGGAGAGAGCTCGGAGCCACGTCCATTCAGCTTGGCGTCATCATGTGACTCCTCTAATTTCTAAGTTTACTTATTCATCACGTCGTCCTTTGTTGCATCTTCTTGTCTTCTTGAGAAGCAAGGCCTTGTTGTGTTAAGGGAAGTTGAGAATCACGGTTTCTTTGCCACAGCACCATGAGCCATACAACAGAATCTCAATCACAGCCAAAGTTCCAACAATGATAAAGAAGACGCGCTGCTTCACTGCCCAGAACAAGGATGCTACTCTGAGTTCACTTCTTCAGAACAACTGCAAGATCATGTGCACCTTGGGGAGCACAGTAAGAGAGAAGCATCAGGGAGCCTTTATGACAGCCTCAGACGTGATTGAGCCATGAAATTTTCAACCAGAATCTTACCAGAAAGTTTCCAGGAGAATTCCTTGAATAGTTGATACTGAGAAAAGAAGGTTGCTCGCTGGTCAGCATTGAGTTTGGTCTTTTCTTGCAATAAATTTTGTAATCAAACACTGGGTTTCTCTCATCTGTCGTGAGTAATGAAAGCTTTAGGCTTGACTGATCTGATATTTCAAATTTCTGCTCCAGTTCATGTCATGGTCTGTCGTTCAGAATATTCTCTATATTTAGAACTATCCACATCTCTGATAAATTGAACATCTCCCTAAGTAATTTTTCGATGCTTGTGACAGCCTCTCAACCTGTAATGATGGGGATTTGTAAACCACAAAGTGTTCAAAAAAGCCTCAGCACTTGTGATTCCAAGCAGGTTTTTGGTGTTTAGAATGTTGACCTCTTCATCTGTTCAAGCCTCTGCTGTGTTTGGCTTGTTGCCTTTCCCTTTCCTTTTTTAGGTGTCTGCTTTGAGCCTCCAAAGCTTTTTGAGTTTGCTCAAACTCAAGGTCCTCAAGGTCTTTGGATATTCACAAGCTTCCAAGTGATGGTTGAAGCTGAAAAGAAATCCTCTCATAGTCAAGAGGCCAACTTCAAAAAAGTGATTTTTTAAAAAAGTTTTGAGTA